AAATACAAGCACTTGCACACTTCCCTCAGAAAAGCTATCCAGCAGTGTGGCCACTAAGCATCCACTGTGCATCCAGTGCTGCACTAGACAGGATGGGCCCAGAGAAAGCACCGGAATCATGGACCCTCTAAGCAAGTCAGCTTCATCTGACATACAAGTTGGATTAAAACACAAGAAGCACAAAAACAATAGAATAAATATATCATAAGAGCTACAGAATCTACTGAGGAAAGAAAAAAGTGTAAATGAATATTTATTAATTGCCTACTGTGTACTGTTTCAAAAGTTATTTTAGGGATGTATTTAGAATAGTGTCTATGATAATGTATGAACTATATAAATGACTGCAGATACTATTGCTATTGTTATTCCCCCCCCACAGTGTTCTCTTTAGTTTTTAAAAAGCTTTATCCAGCTATAGTTAGCATTCAATAAACTGTACATATCTAAAATGTCTGACTTGATGCTTTGACACAACATATCCAATGAAGATATAACCAGAATAAAGACAAATATGTACATCATTTCCAAATCTTTCCTGTAATTCTACTCTCTTGGTCCTCATTATACCCATTCCCCCATTCTAGGTAACCACTATCACCCATGTGCTTTCTGTCATTATGTGTTTGCATTTCCTAGGTTTTAAAATAATGGAACTGTATAGTTTTCTACTCTTTTTTGGGGAGAGTAGAAACTATATTAACATTAACATTATAATTTTATGATTACCTAACATTATAATCTTATGATTAATCTATTTTATACCTTTGAGATGGTTTGAGCATAGTTAAAGTGTGTCCCCAAGGGTTCATGTGTTGAGAGCTTGGTCCTTAATGTAGCAATGTTAAGAGATGTGAGACCTTTAAGAGGTGGGTCCTAGTGGGAGGTCCCACTGGCCCCTTCCCATGCTCCCTCTTACCTCCTCTCCTCCTCTCCCTCCCCCCACCCTCATGTCTCCCTCTCCCCTTTCAGTATAATGACATCTGCCATTTGGTGACTCAGACAAAGGAGTCCTCACCAGAGCTGAGCCAATGCCAGCTAGTACCATGCCCTTCAACTTCCAGAACTGTGAGCTAAATGAACCTCTTATCTTATAAAATACAGAGCCTCTGGTAGTTTGTCATCTTATGTATTCTGTGTCCCAATCCCAGAATCAACCTTGTCCAAGACCTCATGATTCTCTTTATTGGATCAGGGTATTAGAAACCAAGATTAGGGCATGGGGTGTTCTATTACCCACATTTAACAAATGAAGAAACTGAGACACTAAAAGATGAAGTATCTATCTAAATTCACAGTGAGTAACAGGGCTAGCACAGGGGCCAGCATCTTAGAGATAACAACACTATATTTAATATTTAACACTATATTTAACACTATATTTGGTATTAATCAAAGGCCTGATTTGTATGTCTTATGTTCAAGTATAGTGCTAAACTATTTACATAGATTACTCAATTTAATTTTTGACATCAATTTATAGAAAAATACTATTGCCCACATTTAACAAATAAAGAAACTGAGGCACTAAAAGATAAAGTATCTACCTAAATTCACAGTCAATAATAGGGCTAGCACAGGGGCCCACTTCTTAGAGATTCCATGGCTGTGCAGTGACAGAATCACTAGCTGTATGTTCACATAAAACCCTCATTTCTAAATACACCTAAATAGGTGCAGCAATACTCCCCAGCTCTCCACAGGCACTGTTCTGCACAAGCCTTACCTCCTCCATGCCCCTCCCGGCTCTGCCACAGGGTTTGCCCCCCACCTGACACCTAGCTGGAGGACAAGCTGCTAAGTTCCAACCTGACCTGACAGCTCCAGAGGCAGTGTGCTGGAGCAACAGGGATCATCTCCATCTGACCCTGCGACTTTTCAACCTCTGGCTAACCCCTGCCACGTGTTATTCTGGGTTTTGGTGACTTGGTAGTAATTAACTTTGAATAAGCAGCTCTGCTTTCATGGAGTTAAAAAAAGAACAGCATTTTTTCCCTCTTAATTAAATCATCCCTGAGGAAGATGAATGTGCAGCCCACACTTGTATCTTCTAAAATATCAAAGGCCTGATTAGTACATCTTATGTTCAACCTCAGGCTTTTTCTCCAGATTCCTGGAGGTAACAGGAACCTAGAGGTAGGGACCTTTTAAGTATATACTAATACTCAATTACTGCTTGCTCATTCATTCACTCATTCATTCATTCCTTTTGGGTGATCTGAAAAGAGTAACTTGGATCAAGCATAAATTATCTCTGGGAATTTTGTCTCAATTAACCCAGTGAATTGGAAACACCAGAAGTGAGCAGACACCAAGAGAATTCTTTAGGTCATATTGAAACTACTTTTTGGAAAACCCACAGCCCCTGAGATCTGTTTAGCAATTTTTTCCTGACAGTGGTGGTTTTATTTGCCAGAACCACAACAAAGGGGGTCCTTGAGTTTCCCTGGGAGTGTTTCTCCAACCTGCACCTCCCCTAGACCTCACAAAGGTGTGATTGTTGCTGGCATGCTGGCTCCCAGCACCTGAGGGAGATCAAAGGCACTCTCTGTTCCCAGCATGACCACAGTCTCGCCCTCATGACATAACATTAAAGCTAGTGATTAATCCCCTTGGCCCAGAAGGTCCCTTCCCACTCCCAAGTACAAAGCAGGGTCGGGGTGGGGGCTGTTATTTCCAGTATAACACGACATAATAAACTGGCATTTTATGGCCCTTATTCATTGCAACCAACTGCGGCTGCCCATCAAATTCATTAAAGCCCAAACAGTTGCTTCATGTGAGCATTTTATGTCACTGGGAAACTTTCAAAAGAATCCCCGCCATTTCAGTCTCCTGGTGCCAGGTACAGATGGAGCTAATACATGCTCTCCAACAATCCTGCAAGACTGGCACCACTCCCCCAACTTGATGGAGGAAGAATCTGAGTCTCAGAGAAGTTAAGAGGCTCACTGGGGTCATGGGGCCAGCAAGTGGATAAGCAAGAGTTCCTGTGCACATGATGACCTGTGTGCCCATGTTCCTCACTCCTCTATGGCCATGTGGTGAGCAGGCACAATACAACAGGGCATTATGGAGTGTGAACATTGGAACAATGTACAGCAAAATTTAAGTTCTTAGTTCCAGAATTTAATGTCTTTGTGACCTTGGGGAAACTACTAGTATCATCCCATGAAGAGACAGGCTGAGAAGTGGAGGCTCACAGAGTCACCTATATTCATTTAGATCTGCTTTTGATTAGAAGCCTGAAGAGAGTGGAGTAAAAATGCTTGAGACTCAGATTTGACAGGAAAAGCCAGATTTGATGTGTCCCAGTGAAAATAAGGGATGAGTTAAGTAGATTTAAACTGGTGATCAGTGAAGACAAGGGAAGAAGGGTATACCCACATCAAGGGAAGTAAGAGCTGGATGGCTGTTTGGACACTTTCCATTGGAAGAGAGTTTAGGCCTCTGTGGATCTCTGATTCCAAGACAGCTAAGCTTTACCACAGGATGCTGAAGGGGAAGAAGGATGTGGGAACTTCTAAACTTGGTTAAAGAAGTTCCATTTAATGCCTCACCTAGAGTCTAAAGAAATACAGAGAAGTGTATTTGCTAAAGTCCAGCCCAAATGCCACCGCAGGAGGCCTTCTGCAGCCCTGGATGCCTCCTGGCAGTCAGTCACTGCCTCCTTCCTGCCGGATAGCAACAGGGCTGATAATCAAGAGCCAGCCTTCCAAGGGGCTCATGCACCTGAGCACTCACACTGCCCCTTTCCAGCCTTGTTTCAGCCTCCTACTGTGAGGGACTGCCATCAGACCCCACAGATTCCAGGTGAGGAATCTGAGGGAGTTGAGTACTTTGCCTATGGACCCATGCTTAGGAAGGGGGAAAGTGGGACTGGAAACCAAATCTGGCTGGCCCCACTATCTTGGCAACATGGGAGGCCATAGAATTCAAAGTGCCCGAGCATGACCAAATGGTTAGTATCCTGAGTTCAACCCAAACCTATTTGGGTCTTCATATCACATTGTAATATCTGTTACAACTCTATCTCATCCATGGGTGGGCCTATGTTTTCCTTATGCCACAGAGTTTAGCACAGGCAGAATGTAAGAACAGGAATCAGTAAAAAAGTAACTGCATAGATATTTACTCAAAGCATCTACTAATAAAAGAGGCTCAGTGGTACCTACAGTCCTTGGACAGTTTCACACAGCACATGATTTCCTCCCTAGCTGCAGACTTCCAGCTCTGGGCTATGTCCCACTCTACTCTCAGGCTCATCTCCCTGCTCCTCCCCCTCTTTCCCCCTCTATTGTACTCATCTGGGAAAAATCCAGAGAGTCGTCTATCTCAGTTTAACAGAGTAATGACTTTTAAATAAAAATATGGTAGAAATGGGTACTTATCGAAATGGAATGCTTTCAGACTCATGCATTTAAAGAAGATATAAATTTTAGGGCAGGCACTAAATTTTAACTGCAATCTTGGAGAAAGCCTTTCCATTAATTCATGGAGAAAAATTAACAAAGTGAAAATTGCTTATCAGTGTTCTTTTGAAGTCATGATACGCAGCCTAATTCTATAGATCATCAGGACGCTCCCAGGGAGATGGATTTATATTGATGGAGAAAGGGCTCAGCAGCCAAAGAAAACAGACACCCCCACCTTGCCAGGGACGAGTCAGTTGCCTCTGAAAGAGAGATGGGTCTGGGAGAGCGAGGTTTTGCCCTCGTGGACCCTACTTTACTCCTTTTGCCTGGGTTCAATGGCCAGGGTGGATTCAAAGGCAGACTCAACCCTTTCATGCTTTTTAAGACTTTGGCCCCTGGAAAAAGAGCAGGCAAATATAAGCAAGGTTGCAGGAGGCAGGACCAGGCTTCTGGCCAGACACGCACAAGGGGGCAGGAGGGGAAACTGGGAAGAAGCAGAGCAGAGAAGGTGCTAGCAGCTCAGTATCTCCCCCTGAGTTGCCTCCCACCCTACACGGTGGCTTTGCCCTTGTGCCCCACACTCACCCCCATGTGACAAGAAGATGTTCCACAGATGACAGCCAGCCGTGACGTCACTGGCTGTCCCTCACAGATGAGGCCATGACCCCTCACATCTGCTCCAATCACTCCTGTGAGAAAGTAAAACCACAAAATCATCTTTTAAAAAAAAAGGAAGGAAGGAAAGAAAACTAAAACAATCATAAAATACCTTTTAAAAGCCAAGAAACATAGAGGAAGAGTCTTGTGTGTAGCCCAATTTCAAATACAAACCAAAAGGGCATACTCCTCTACCACAGGAAAACTAGAAAACTCGTTCTGTTCCTGCTTTGCTCTGGTCCATGCATGACATGTGACAGTTAACTGTACCTATTTACATATTAAAAACAGTGGCTGTCCATTGTCTTGTGCTCACTAAATACCAGCACTATGCTGTATATTTAACCGGTGTGATCTCATTTGGGATTAATACTGTCAAGTTGATGTTATTAATGTTAGAGACAGACATCAGAAAAGAAACCAAGGTCTGCAGAGGTTCAGTGACTTGCCCAAGGTGGCATTGGTCATAAGGAACAGAGCCAAAAGGAATCTGGTTTAATGTATCATATGTCAATCTCAAAGAAGGTAAAGCAAAGGCGGTATTTCACGACTGAATCTCTTCAGCATACTTATTGCAGAGCTCCAGGTGTAAAGAAGAGGGTGACTGAGAGGTAATCCTTTAGTTTAAAGATTGCCAGTAGCAGAGTTTCTCATATATGGTGGAAACTCAGGCTTTTCCACACAGACTGTATTCCTGATACTTGCGAAACAAGTGAAATTAGATATGATCAGAGTTAGTTAAAGCTATTCCACCTTCATTTATTCAAATATCCAACAAGCACTTTCTATGCAGTAAATGCTATGCCAGGCATGAAGTGGGAGCCATGAGCATGCAAATGTACATAACTATAACACGAGGCAGGTGAAATAGGCTCGAGGCAGGGCTCAGATGTGGATGCAGAGAGAACAAATCCCACTGATCTCAACAGCTTCATGCATGGCCTCTCGATCCTCAGACTCCAATACTATATGCTCTTCTGCACCTGCTCTTCTGTCTGCCTGGGATGCCATTCCCAACTTTCTGCCAGGCTAGCTTCTATTTACTCCTAAATCAGATGTGACTTTCTCAGAGCTTCCATGATCCCCAAAGGAGTCTCCCTGTTAAATGTTTTCATGCACCATTGGACTTCCCCAACAGAAGAGGCAGTGGTAGTTTTGAGACATCACATGCTGTGAGCCCCTCTTCTATAATGAAAGCTGCAGGAAGCTGGCACAGCCTTGCTCACATGCTTAGCAGCCCTTTACACCATAGTTGCTAGCTCAGGGCAGAAAGTGAGAGTACAAATGTTTGGGGACTCAAGGATAAAGAAGACAAGGCCCTGCACTCAGGGTACTTGCAGCCTGGTGAGGAAAAGAGAACCTCAAATGATCAGAACACACAGAGAAAGAGAACCATGGAGGCTCCAGGGTTTCCCCAGGCTTTCAGTCCATGTGGAGTTCTGCACAAGTTAGCCAGGTAAAAGCCACAAATTCCTGGATACTGAAGGCACTAGTTGCTCAAGCAAGCAGGTCTTTCTAGAAAGTAGGATCTAGGGGCCACAGACAGTCTTCTTACAGCTTTCCAGATTTTTTTTTTCATTACTTCTTCCAAGTTCTACCTTCTGGGTACAGCAATTAGTGCACCTCTGCTATTGTTCAGAGGCCCAGCAGTAGGGGGAAGTACAGCTCTTCCAAACTTTCTGTGTTGGTTATAATAGCAAACAGGCAATTGAGGTCTGAGTCTTGAGCCTGCAAGAGTCCTGGGCCCTATTTGTTTTCAGAACAAGCCCCCTGTTCTGCTCAGTATGGGGGGGTTGCCCCTGCAGACTGTAGTTCCCAAACTCAGTCAAGGTCAGTCCTGCCAGAGGGCTGGAGGAAAGGGAAGGCCCAAGCAGACCTTCTCTTCCTTCTCTGTCTCAGGTAAAGGCCCAGGAGTGCTGTTTCCTTCTGACTCAGACTCTGCTGGCAGGGTGACCACAGCCACAGCATCTGCTGGGGTCCACCACTAACTTGTTCCCTTGACTGCTGGCCTATGGTGGCAGCTGCTCTCTAGCTTCTCGCTCTTTCATCATCTGATCAACATTTTCTATATAAAATTCCCTCTTTTATATAACAATAGTAATATCAATAGATGTTGTTGTGGTGGTAGATGTTTTAGAGGTACAGACAAATTTACTTAGGAAAGCAGAAACACATTCCAGGAATGTGGGCTCTTTTAAGAGTGAGAGGCTTTTGGGGTAAAGGAAGGAATACACATTCAAGGGAGAATGTGGGCCATCTCGAGAGGGAGAAACAGCTGAGATTCCTTTTATAAGCACTTAGAGTGGCTTATGCCTCTCTGGCTGGACCTTGAGTGATAGGTTCCCCATTCAGGACACAAGGAGTTTAGGACAGGAAGAAACTTCAGATATGAGCTAATTTTAACTGGGTTCTTCTTGCATCCTCTCCCTAGACATCTCATTTTTTCAACTTACTAATATGACTGTTATTATCCTTATTTTACAAATGAAGAAACTGAAGCTTAGAGATGAAAAGAAACTTCTTCAGGGTCACAGAGCTCCCAAGAACAGCACTGCAATTCATATTCAGGCAATCTGAAGCCAAAGTATTTGTTCTTAAACACTAAGACTGTAGGTTTGTCTCCAAAACAAAACCCAACATCCAAGCAATTGATGTTTATTATCTACACATCTCAAAGTACTGAGGTCTTAAGCTTCTGATACTGAGATCCCTGACAGAAAAGGGGTTGACTGCTTCTAGCCCACAGTGCTATAAACCAACTCAAGGTTTCCTGAGCAAGGCCCGCATTTATTGGCTCCACTCATAGGTACAGGCAAAGTTAACCTTAGATGGTCATTCAATTTCTATAGACACTTAAAAATTGAGGAAAAGATAAATGTGTGGGTAATTTTCTTTTGCTTCTTTTCTGGTTAGCAGACTCACTGATTGACAGATTTATTGATTGATTTATCCATGCTAAGGACCTGAACACTAGTGAGTTAGGATGAGAGAAGAATGGAATTTGGAAACATATCTGCTATAGAATAAAGAAAACAACAAAATCACATGATTGCCTGATAATGAATGCTAAAAAATAGATGTTTGATCAATGGTAACCGTGTCGCCATTACTACTACCATCACCAACATCACCAAACCACAAACTTTCTCTCAAGTCAACTGTATTCTTCCTTTGTTTCTGGAAAACATATTAGAGACTGAAGATAGGCTGGATTCTATGCTAAGTCTTTAAATATTCTCTCATTTAATCTTTACAACAACATCCACTAAAGGTAAATATTCTTTATTCCCTTCAACAGAGGTGGAAACAAAGGATCAGAGTAACTGGTCCAAGGTCATGCAGATATAGAAAGCAGTGCCAGGATTTGATCTGTTCTTTCTGACTCCAAAGCCCATATTCTTTCTATACTCCCTCACTCTATGATGTTATAATTGTCTTCTAAGAAGGAAATATATTTGGAAATGTCAGTTCACCATGGAACATAATGAATGCACTGGACTAAGAAAAAATCAGAGTTTTAACCCCATTTCTGCCACAAATTAGAACTAGTTCCCTCATCTCTACAACAGAAGAATGGATCACAAATGTTGTTCTTTCCTCAGCCATTCTCAATATAGGATACATAGAGTGTGTCTTCTGATATATCAGGTACAGTGGCTCCTCACCAGGAGACAAGAGCAAAAAGTCGCTCTCCAGATGCTGATTATCCAGTCCCAAGGATACTTAAGCAACCACCAGTCAGGTTTGCACAGCACCAGTAAGAGTCAGGCTTGCCCAGGTTCCCCTCCTGGGAGGTTCTTGATGCTCTGCCTATCATTGCCCCTGATTCAATAGCAGTAGGTGGGGGATGCTCTCGATGACCACATGAATCCAGGAGCTGACAATCTCATTTTCCTGTGTCCCTCTAGAGCCTAGAGTGGCTACAAGAGGCCCATGAATGAGCAGGAAAAGCAAGAATAGTTGGTAGGAGCATTCTCCTTTCTGAATAACCACATTTTACCATCCCTAGAAGATTCACAGGCTGCACAAGTACATCAGGAAGCAATTCTCAAGATGAAATTTGACAAGTGCAGCCCTGACACTGCTGGGGCCCCTCACAGGACTGTACAAGTGTCAGTTCGTTCTGCATTCCTCAGAACATTTAAGGAGCAAAATTAGCAGCAGAAGAAATAGGCATCAAAACAAAGTGACATATTCAATTGTCTCTTCTCTGAATCTTGTACAACAACCAGCTGAAGGTAGTTGCTCAATAAATTTTTTTGAATGAAAAAAATAGCAGAAAACAAGCTTACTAACTTGCTCATATATTATATTGTTCTTATTTATTTATCTAATGTCAAGCAACACAATATTTTAAATGTAACCTTTATTTTACTTGTTTGTATGTGGTTCTGAGGATTGAACCCAGTGCCTCACCCATGCAAGGGGGAGTGCTCTAACCACTTAACTACAGTGCCAGCCTAAACAACACATTTAAAAACAAAATTTAGAGGGAAAATTTGAAACTTCATGAGCAGCTCTTATTTACCCTTGTGTGCTGTCTCCCTCCCTCCCTCCCTCTCTCTTCTATCCAACCATCTTTCCTTTTTTCCAAACATTTATTGAGTGCCTACTATATTTATATAAAAGAAAAAAAGGACTTTGCAAATGTTATGATTAAAAGCATGTTATCCTGTAATTTATCAAGCCATAGCAGCTTTGAAAACTTTACAGGGTTATATAGAAAAAAAACATCCTAAGTTCTAAAATTTGTGTTATAATTATCTCCCACTTTATAGCTTCATAAACTGCTTTATAGCTTGCACAGCATCCTCAGACACTGCACCCTTTATTTAATATTTAGAAAAACCCTGTGATACATGTGTTTTATTTCCAGTTCATGGTTGAAAAAAAACCCCTGAATTTCAGAGAGGTGAAGTAATTTTGTCAAACTTATTTAGATACTAAGAAGCAGGAGAAGGGCTCAAACCAGGATATTCAGTAACCCATTCTGATGTGTTAGCATCTTGAAAAAGATTCTCCTGACAACCAC